AAGAAAGTTTTTATTTTAAATAAAAAAATGCATTAAATTAAAAAAAAGCAAAATAATAAAATATTAGATCCATGTTGATACATACTTGTTAATATCAATTTTAATTTCAAAAACAATTAAGCTAAACTCGGGTACTGTCTGTTTCGAGCAATTTTACTTAATCTTACAATTATTTATGCAGTTTTATCTAAACTTCATTCTAAAAATATTTTTACAGGCATATTGGCTTGCAAAAATTAAATTCGTGTAAAATTTATAGTATTATTATTATATTAAATAATATAGTAGAAAAAAAACAAAAGAATTTTGTTCTAATGTTTTGATGATGGCTATAATCAATACTGTCATCGCTGACGTTGAGTTCTGGGACACCCTGTATATATTATATAAATCTTTTAACATTTTTGAACTAAATATGTTTCATTCATAAACTTAGTTTATAAAAATTCACTATAAAAATAAGAATTGCATACTATAACACACATTGAAAGAAATAGTAACTTTTTTTACACAATTTATTTCTTAAACCATTTTCTTAAATCGACTTTTTTAAAACAAAAAATGATTTTTGTAACTCATACTTTATATAAATTGTGGTTTTATATAAAGTTAGTTGTAAAAATATTCTTAAAGGCATAGTGGTTTCAAAAATTTAATAATGAAGGATATCATAATATTATAAATAAAATATAAGCAAAAAATAAATCAATAACACATTTCTCTAAAAATATAGTATATCAATTTAAAAAAAAAATTAGCTACACTTACAATTTTTGAAATAATGTATTTTCGTTATTAACATAATTATTATTATAGTTTTGTATAAATTTTATCCCAATAACGTTATTAGAGAAATATATATTTGCAGAAATCGCATTAATACATTTCTTTATTACAAAAAGAAACAATTCAATGAATAATATAAAAAATATTACATAACTTTTACAGCCTGGTACAAGTTTTTATATTTTACATATTCCTTATCGAAATTTTAGACATTTTTTTTAATTACAATTAAAATTAATTAATTTTAAACATTCTAATTGTTTTTGTGTTTAATAAGATATGATTTCAAAAAACTGAGAACGTCTATCAAATTGCTACTTAGACGTGTCCTTTGTTTACTCATAAAATTTTCTGAAATAAAAAATACTGTCATACTTTTAACGAAATTATGCTTAATTGTTTTTATAGCCTGATATAATATTTCTAAGTTTTTTGTTTTTTAATTTGTGATTTCTAGGGTTTAAAACTCTTTTTTTTAAGTTTGAGTAAAGGAAGTTACTTCTTCAAGAAGTCACACTGATTTAAATTAATATATACACTGGTATAAAAATTAATCCATACAAAACTTTTCTGGGAACCATTGCAGACTGATAAAATATCAAATGCTATTGAAACGATATGATTTCAAAAATCAAAACGCTTTCGTCTATCTTTTATATTTGGCTATATTTGTCACTATCCATTTATACAGTGAAAACCGACTTTTTTCACTAAAAACCGGTTTTCGAATTCCATAATTTTCGCCCAAAAACCGGTTTTTGAAAACCGACAAACCCTAGTGGAGCTAATAGAGAAGATATAAAAATTTATTAATTCATATGTGGAATACATATGTTTATCTTTCGTGGAACTAAAAATACTTACACTACATATCGCACAAATTTTTCTTCCCCTAGTGTATTATAATTTCTCATTTATCATTGTAACTGTAATTGAAAAACTTTTTACGCCCTTTTTTTCTCATTAAATGTTATATTGCATATTTTACATTTGATGCCTGATCTGTTCAAATTTCTATCAATTTGGCTGTGATTATTATTTGATCGAAGTCTTTGTCTTTGAGTGACACATTCGATGCCTGATAGGATATAAATTATAAATATAAATATAAATATAAGGAAATGAGATCTGGTGATTCTATGCCATTCAAAATCTTATTCATGTTGGAGAATGTCCTTATAAATGTGGAGTATACAATTTATGTGGTCGTTCTCCAATTTGAATAAGCAGCAATAGCGACGATTTGGTAAGTGTTTATTAACTTTCCGAAAAAAAAGTTTGTTTTATCGACGTTTCAAGCCATTCTGAATCGAATGAGACACAAATTTGGAAAAAGTATGTGTGTGTGTATGTGAACAGATTTTTGGCCGTAAATCGACGTTTTCTCGACAACGGCTAGACCGATTTCAAAAATTTACAAACCACTCGATGTATCTCTATGAGGACTATTGTTTGTCAGTTTTGTGCGACGATTGGCCAAGCCGTTTCTTTAAAAATCGCAGAAAAAAAATTTTTTACGTCTACGTTTATCCCGCAATTCTGAATCGATTTTGAAAATTCAAAAACCGTTCGAAACATATTGGTTGAACATCGTGCTGATTAGTTTTGATAGAGATCGGCCGGGCAGTTTTCTTGTAATAAAGTTTTTTAAAAAAAAAATTCGACGATTTTTATGATTATTTTTTTGACGGTAGATACCATAGTCCTCTAGATCATACTAAAATATTACGGCCCTACAACAATTGGTTTAACTTTGAAAATTCATCAAAGTTTGCAAAAATTGGTATCGTCTTTTTGGCATTTGTCAAAATTAGAACTTTCATCGACGTTTGCTCAAAAACGCCTCAACCGATTTCAGATATTTAAAAGCCATTTGATGTATCTCAATGAGGACTATAATTTGTCAGTTTTGTGAGACGGTTTGCCGAGCCGTTTCTTTGTAATTTGGAAAAAAGTGTTAAACTTTTCGTTCACATTTAAGCTCATACTACCGAACCGATTTTAAAAAATCAAAAACTGTTCGAAAGATATTAGTTGGGAATGATACTGATTAGTTTTAGGTGAAAACCTACCGAGCTGTTTTCTCCTAAATAACTCTTGAAAAAAAATTCAAGTGGATTTTTATGGAACTTTCTTTGGCGATATATATCATGGTCTTATAGAACTTACTGAATTATTACGGTCTTACGACAAGTAGTTTAGTTTTAAAAATTCATCAAAATTTGGGAAAATTAGTAGTTTTTTGACGTTCGTTAAAAATAAAATTAGCTGATTTAGTTGGTATAACGATAGTGTACTTGGTCTTGAACATAGTAAACCATTAACGTCCTACGGAAACTGGTTCAATTATAATTTTTGATTAATTAAAATTATTTATTGATTTTTGAAAATTTGCTTTTAGAAAATACTCCGAGTTAACGTGTTCGTTCGTTCGTTTGCTATGATGTGTAATAATCCACTCGGAATACTTATAGTCAATCATAAATTAATTTATTTTTTATTGATTAAGTCAATTATTTACACATATCTGGAAGTCCATGTAACTTGCCTCAAGGCTAAATACCAAACCAACTAGTTATAATAGTAATTATAGATATTGATGCAGGTTCAAAGCCTCTTACAAACTCTGAAAGATCAAGATTACATCGTCAAACTAAACATATGCAGGAAAATAACCGGTTACTACCAATTAATTAGAAAATCTTGAGCCAGGCATCAATTTAGATGTTAATGTCAACACCATTGACATAAGTAAGGATCTTTTTTTGCTATTTGACTCCTGAAAAACACTTCAACTATTCACATTTAAACATATTATTTTATTATCTTTTAGATGAACGTACTATTAAAACTTTAACTACTGTAACACCAACTATTTCACGTCAATTGCAAATTGATGATTTTGTATATAATGTGACTAATAATGTGACAAGAACTGATCTTTTGCAAGAGTCAAATGAAGTATTTGAACTTCCATATAAAGACTTCTATTTGTTTAGGAATCCACGAACATTGTTTGAAAAACAATTTACAAATGATAGCTTTGGCTATGTATGCTTTGTGTGTGATAGACTTTGGTTTCAAAGTGACTTAAAAATATTAAATGATGCTCAAAAACAAATTCTTGATAATGGTTTTCTGAATATTGATTCAAATAATCAGGTTGGATGTCAAACTTGTCGAAAGGCATTAAAATCGGGTAAATTTCCCACTTAGTGTAAATTTAACGGTTTTGTATTTTCACCTATACCAAATTATCTACCTAAACTAGATACTGTATCTGAAAGATTAATTTCACCTAGGTTGTGTTTCATGCAAATTAGACAATTGCGACATGCAAATGGAGAATTTGGAATATTTAGCCAAATTATAAATGTGCCTGTTGACGTTAATATTATGGTTAATTTATTGCCTTGTAATATTGATGATGTCCATTGCATTAACGTTCACATAAAAAAGAAAATGATTAATAGATCAAGCTATGTGCAGGGCGTGATAAATAAAACAAATATAAAAGTATGGCTTCAATTTTTTAGGCAAGACAGATATTACAGCTGTTCAAAGAATGAGATTATATTGCTAGCGAAAAAGTAAATGAACACAAACAGTCAATGAATGTATGTGAATTTTAATTACATGAAGTTCTTCAAACACAATTGTTACAGGATGAGTTAATTTGCATAAACAATATTTGTTTAGGCGTTGTTTAACATAATCCGCTGTGTGAACGAATATTATAGAATTTATTAATCAGCAATTACTTTAAACCGATCATGTCATATTTTAAGTATGACTTTGATTACATTTTTGTTTGTAAATATTATACATATTTTTAATGCAATCATAAATATGTAATTTATAATTCATCATTATATAAATGTGTATAATGATTGACGACACTAATAAATGTGTGCATCACGAGTGTTACCATATTACTAATAAACATTATTCAAAATTGTTATATGATGTATTTATTTTTACTCAACTTAAATTTGCTACTATGTACAGTTGCAAATGAGTTTTACTTCAATCGCGTGTGATCCTTACGCGCACTCTTTTTTCTTCCCCTAGTATTTTGTAATTTCTCATTTATCATTCTAACTATAATTGAAAAACTTTTCGCGCTCTTTTTTCTCAGTCAGTCTGTAGTTTAAGTCCGGGGGTAGTTTATGTCATCAATCTTAATATTATTTTATTAAAATTTTATTACTCACCATTGTACGGTGGAGGCGTGGACGTTCACCGAACAGGATAAGGATATCGTGCTTCCGCGTTTTACATAGAGATCCTGCGATCCTGTGATTTGGGCACGGGCTGCTGTAAAAAAAAGAAAATATAGGGTTTTAGTAAAAAAAATAGTTAAGATATAATTAGATAACAGTCAAGTTGCAATTTTGAAGGTTTTTTTGGACGTTTTACAATTTCAATATTTGCTCTGAGTGAAATTTTTGGCTCTCAATTTTATTTTCAAAGTATTCAACAATGATTTTGTTTTGTTAAATTTGTATTATTTTTTGTATTGAACTTTTCGTAAAGTAAGTTATAGTAATCGCCCATAAATCTAAAATGAATTTTTTTTACATATCTTTACGTTTCAGAGGTTTCTGAACGTTTTGGCACACCTCAATCAAAATAAATGTAAAAAAATGGAATATAACACAAACGCAAAGTTAGGTTGTATACGTGTATATAGGCGTATTATCCTGATCGCAATGCAAATACATAGCTTTTTGACATTTTTTACTACCATACTCATATATGAAGATAGATCTGTATCATGGAATTAATGTCATACATTCAAAATTTTATCTGAGTATTTTGATTATGAATATAAGATGATTTTTTGTACGTAGTCTTTTTTTTTATTTTAAATTAAATTCTAAGGTACAATATAATCTTTATATAATTTCCGTGATTTTATTCAAAACCTCTAGTTTAAAAAATAACTAAAATTATGAATAGATTTCAGAAAACATTTTTGAATTGTCGTAGAAAATTTTTAACATTCATTTACACTTTTTAATCATTCTGAAACTTCAATTTGATAATCTAGTCATTTAGTTAATGAAATGTAGAATTTATTGTACGTCGTTTAAAAACAAACTTGAAGAAATTTTATATAATGTGATTTTAAATTATTAATTTTACACCTTGTATCAATATTTGTTTTTCATTATAATGAAGTATTTTTAATTATTATTCAAAAATCTATAATTTTTAATAATTGGTTCAGAAATTATTATATAAAAACTATAACAAGTACTAGATATCAAATTTTTAAGAATAAATTCTTCGAATCTGTAGATATAGTTAAGTCAACTCTAAAAATAAATAAAAAAACATTAACTCACACTTTTACTGACTCAATTTGTTAACTATTGAACTAAACATAAGATAGTTTTTTGTACGTAGTCATTTTTTTTTTTTATTTTAAATTCAATTCTAAGGAATTCAAAATGTAAAATGGCAAGATAATCCTTATATATTTTGCACGATTTTATTCAAAACCTGTAGTTTAAAAAAATCATTGAATATGTGAATAGATTCCAGAAAACATTTTTGAATTGTGGGTATATAAAATTTGGAACATTTTCATACACGTTTTAATCATTTTGAAACTTTAATTTGATAATCTAGTAATTTAGTTAATAAAATGTATAATATATTATACGTCATTTAAAAACAAATTTGAAGAAATTTTTATAGTGTGATTTTAAATTATTAATATTACACCCTGTATCAATATTTGTTTTTTATTGTATTGAAGTATTTTCAATTATTGCGCAAAAAACTACAATTTTTGATAATTAGTTGAGAAATTATTATATAATTAATAGAAACAAGTACTAAATATCAAATTTTTAAGAATACATTTTTCGAGAGTGTAGATATAGTTAAGTCAACTTTAAAAATAAATAAAAAACATTAATTCACATTTTTTAGTGACTCGATTTGTTGATTATTTAATTAAATTCAAAATTTATTTCAAATTATTTTGTACAAAAACTGGATTATATAATCCAGATCAATTTGTAATACAATTCGCGGGATTTATGTATTTCTGACTAAATTTTGTGATAGTAATATTATTTGTGATAATTATATTAATAATATAGTTTCTATGACTAAATTTTATTATTTATTAAAGGCCTCCTATTTTGTTCGTAGTAAGTTTATGTATGCTTAATTTTTTTAATTTTTAGTATATTTGCTTTAAAAAAATTATGCTAATAACCTTTTAAACATACGAGATTTTTGATATTAATACTCGTCTTAAATTTTGTTAATTTCAAAAATTGTGTAAATAAATGCAAAATGATTTGAATCAAAAATAATAAAGAAACATTATAGAAAAATCTTGACAATAAATAGGTTCTCGTTTTGTGTGCATTTTTTGTTAGAAAAAGCACTCGATTTTTGAAAAGTAAAACAGTAGAACAGACGATTTTAAAATATGCCATAAAAATATTAAGTTTTAGATGAAATATTAAATGAACTGAGTTTTTACTGAGTTTTGTAAATAAAAAAAAATATTAACCAAAAACTAATAAGGACACTAATATAGAAAAATGAGACAAAATTTTTGGAAAATTGTTTATAACAATACCTGAGGTGATTTCTCAGACTGTATTAGAAATGTTGTATTTTATTTAAATGTAAATGTTATAATTATTTATAAAAATCCAGTACGATTTTTAGCAATTAAGCGAGGAATATCCCACTCGAAGATTAAAAAAATGACCATACGATCTTAAATGAAATATCTAAAAATAAAAAAAAAGTGATCTCATAGAAGATAATCTCTTAAATGCATTTAAATCCAGCATATTGCCTTAATAATGTATATTATTTTGGTTGGCAATAAATCTATGCAAATAAAAAAAAGATTTTTAGTAGTTAGTAGACCGCAAAATATATTTTTGAAATTGATTTGTAATTTTTCAAATATTATTGTTTCTATTAAAAATAAATCTGCTACGCTTGAACTTCTAAATTTTATTTATATATTATATTTAGTATCAGTTTTTTTTTTAAATTATATGAATTCCAAACATAATAGCAACATGCTCCAATAAATATATAATTATATATATATATATATATATATATATATATATATATATATATATATATACATAGTATTTATTTAAAATATTTAGTTCATGCGTAGAATTTGATATTTGATATTTCAGTAAATAATTATTACATACTCCGAAATAGCCATGCATTTATTAAATACACAAAAAGCTATATATATTTACATACATTATTTTTAATGCCAAATTAATAAACTTTTGCTTCTCTAATTTAATAAATAAATATAAAAAAAAATATTATCAAAGGTCAGAAAAGCGTTCGATTTTTTTTTAGAAAAGATGCAGTTTTTTGGTAAATTTTTTGACAAATCTAAAAAGCGGCGGCATGCAAAGAAATTAGCGTTTTTAAATTTTTGATTTTTTTTTACTAATTCTGACCTTCGGAATTTGTAGATTGACCTGCATCGGACGCGCCTTCATTAAGGGGTTCCTCTGTAAATAAAATTTAGAATAATTTATAATAGATTAGAAAAAAAAATCTAGTAAATTGTGTTGACTATTTCGGAGTAAGTAGAACATAAAACTAAAATCTAGTTACTTAAAATTATCACGTCCATGAATAATTATTATATCTCTCGTCCAGGCATTATTTTTGTATGTATTATTAAATTTAATAATAAAATCAAGAAAAAAGTTTCCAATTAAATTCCTGAAAAGAACGCGCCTAATCTTGGAGAATTCAGGAAGTAATTTCTGCAACGTTCTAATAAAAGTATAATTGTGATATTATCGTAAAAATTAATGAGAAAAATCGCGAAAGTTCTTCGCGAGAAAAATTGTATGAGGTTTTTTGAATCTTAGAAGAAAATTTAGATTTTCTCCTAGAGGGGTAAGGATTTATTTTGTTGCAAACTTTTCATAACTATTTTTTTTCACCATATAATTTATTACTGCCTTCAGTGGACATCTCACCTTTTTTTTCAATTTAACTCTAAAAATTAAAACTAAACTGGTGGTATATGGCATCGTGCCTTAATGCAAATTGCTGGAACTTCCCGTACCGTAATGAGGTATTCGAAAAATATTAACGTTTTCAAATATATTATTACAAATACTGTAACTTTCATTATTTTTGCATTATCTTGTTATATCTGAGCAAATCAAATGTAAATTAAAAATAAATTATTTCCGGAACATTAACAATCGTCATTTTATTTCGAAATCAATTTAAAAAAAAATTGTTATAATTTACACAAAATTGAAAAAGTGCTCCCGTGTAGTCACAGTATAAACGCATTTGCAAATAATTCTGTGCGACATTTTCACTTATACTATGCTTAGCTTGGCGGCATTTTCACATTTTTCAATAGTTTTCACAAAATTGGAAAATCGCTCCAGTACATAAACAGTCTAAACGCACTTGGGTGAAAATTTGCACCAGAGTGGCGCTTAGACTGTGCTTAGCCTGAGTATTTTTTGTAATTTTTAATCCAAAATTACAATTTTTTTTTTTTTTAATTAGAAACATTTTTTTTTTCCAAAAGCAATTATTTTGTTGAAACAAACAGAAAGTTCTTTGAATCATTTAAATCTGACGCTTAGTTATTTCTAAAACTGCCATTTTTTGCACATTTAGCTCTGTATCTCCAAAACCGCTGGACCTGCCTTTGCCAAAAATTAATCACCACCTCTCCCCGTCATTACGAATTGAATCTTGATCTTACGATTGAATGTTTTGATTATTAATATGCTCGGTTATCATCGTCTTAAATTGTTTGTGATTTTTTGAGTTATTTTTATCCCAAACAATTTAAGACAATGATAACCGAACATATTAATAATTTTAAATATAATATAGATTTTCCAACCTACAAATTTTACATTTTGAAGAGAACGTAAAAAAAGAAATTTAAAAGATTTGCTGAGGGGTTATTTTTTTAATTTCTCATATAAACTAGCTGACCCGGCAAATGTTGTTTTGATAAGTAAGGTATATTCTAAACCTTACTTATCTAGACCTTTTTACCCTATAGGCGGGGTAACTTAAAACGGACAGGTGGCAAAAGTAAACCCTTATTATAATTTTAAAGGTATTTTACAAAATAATTACATTTTTAACTAATGCTAAAAAACTACCAACGGAAGAAAATACTTTTATTATGGATTTTCAAAGATTACTGTTTATCTCCCGATAGCAAAGAATCATAAGAATCAAGGTTATAGCTGGTTATACTTCTTTTTCCCTCTACTTTCAAATATCTTTGTTAAACAATGCTTAACTTTACTGGTTTTTGACACATCGGTGGTGGACCTTTTTAACCCTCGACATTCAAATATGGCTATCTATTCTTCGATAAATTCTGGGAAATTATAACTGGGAAAATGTTATTCGACAAAATGTCCATTTGATCGATACCAAATTTAGATTCTGAATTTAAATAACATAAATAAAAAAATAGCGTAACTTAGAAAATGTTTTATAAATTACAATGAGTATATAATTATACAAATGAGATCTTTCAGAGCACCGTGTTTGAGAAAAATATGCCAAAAAAATGCATTTTCATATTAACATTTCAAAAAAGTTGATATTTAGAGTCTCTAGTAACACTTGCGGCCCGTTTACTAACGTTTTTGTATAAAAATCAAACTACAAACAAAACTACTTACTACAATTTAATCATAATTAAATAATATTCACGTAAAACCATCATATTAAACGTAATTGAACATCATCTGTCAAAAACGTTTGATATTTGACGTATTAGCCACCGTCCATTGTTTTAATTAAATTACGCTTTTACAAAAATGTTCAAATTAAAAATGTAAAGTTTCTACGAGATTTTGAAATAATATCTCACCTTTCCGACCATCTCTGGATTGGCACGAATTTTTCAAGGCTAAGACTGGCCAAATCGGTTTAGCCGTTTTCGAGTTTTACTAAGCATTTGATCGAGAGCTCCATTTTTATATATAAGATATATTGTAGATATATACTTTGATTGAATTGCGCTCTATCTAAACGTTAATATTAAGAGCTAAAACTTTCAGAGAATTTATCTATTTGGAACCATTTAAGCCCCTGAGAGCAAGGAAATTCAAAAATGACCATTTTAAGGACCACCCTAATATATATATATATATATATATATATATATATATATATATATATACATATAATTGATATTTTCAATTATTATTTCTAAATATCGATTTTTTATTACCCCACCTTGTACGTGAAGATAAACAGCCAGGTTTATTTTGGGTTCAGTGTTAACTTGGCATTCGTATATGCCGGCGTCCCTATTTTGGGCATATTCAACCCTCAAGTCCCAATCGTCTCCGTCTTGAGGGTGGAGGACCGTGAATCTGGCGTCCCCTGTGTACGTGAAGATGTTTGAGGTTAGAATGTGGAGGTCTCGTTTGCGCATCCAGGAAACCTATAAAAAAAAATTATTCATTATATTTTTTCAGTATATTGGTAGTTAATTTGGCAATATTTTCAAGTTTGAATAGATTTTAAGATTTCAAAAGTCAATAAGAATTTGTTGCAAACAATTGTTTGAATGGCTTCTGGCCTTATGATGTATGTCAAAGCCAATAAATAAAAAATAAAGATCAAACGTTTTTATAAGTTTATGTGTGGAATGGAATATTTTAAATTTAATTTTTTATCAACTTTATTAACTATTTTTCAATGCGCTTATAGACATTTGATATAATTTTCATTGTAGTCAATGATTTATTTTTCTCTTATAATTAATATAATTTGAAGACATAAATTGATATATATGTATATATCTAAATTTCTTTAAAAAAAGGATCTATAATTTAATGTTTTGGTTGAACTTGGATTAGAGTCGTTGAACTTGAAATTAGGGCCTTAATTAAATTAAACATAGGGCCTTGAAACTTGAACTTAGCACTATTAATTTTGAGTTGAAGTCGTCTAACTTAAATTCAGGTCTTCAAGCTTCGATTTAGAGTTTTCCAACTTGGATTGAGGGCTTTCAAACTTGGATTAGGGTCATAAAGCTTGAATCAATGTCGTAACACTTGGACAAGGTCATAAGACTTGAAGAAAGATCAAACTTGGATTTCGGAGCCTTCAAATTTGAATGACGACTCTAATTTAATTTCAAAAGGCCAAACCTAAACTTCGGGCCCATAATTTAGAATTATGGTTGTCAAAATATAACATGAGGATTTTAAATTTGAATTGATTTTTAAGCTTGAATTTAGAGCCTACAAATTTGAATTAAACTTGAACTGAGGACTTATTTGAACCATGGTTCTCAAACTTGAAATATCGGCGCTTACAGTTAAATTATGAATGTCAAAATAGAACTTAGTGCCTTTAGATTTGAGTTGTGGTTGCAAACTCAAACTTAGAGCTATTCAATTAGAATTTTTGTTGTCAAAGTTGAACTTAAAGCTTTGATATTTGAATTGAAGTCGCAAATCTGAACTTAAGGCCATGATTTTTTAATTGTGGTTCTTAAACTTAAATTGGGAGCTTTAAATTTGAATTGTGGTTTTCAAACTTAAATATAGAACCTTTAATTTTGCATTGTGGTTGTCAAGTATGAACATAGAGCCTTTAGATTTGAATTGGGCTTAGGGCCTTGAATATTCGTAATTTTCAAACTTGAACATATAACCTTTTAATTTGAGTTGTGGTTGTCAAACTTGAACTATGGGCCTTTAAATTTGAATTTTGGTTTTCAAACTTGAATGAAGAGCCTTTAAATTTTATTTATAATTTGCGTACTTAAATTTAGAGCCTTTAAATTTGTAGAATTAATGTCAAACTTGAAGTTAAGGCTTTTTAATTTAAATTATGGTTGTCAAATTTGAACTTAGAGCCTATAAGTTTGATTTGTTTAATTTAAACTTAAGGCGTTAACATTTCAATTGGAGTTAGGGATTTGAATTTTCAATTTTGGTTCTCAAACTTGAACTAAGCGCTTTTAAATTTTGATTATTATTGTCAAATTTAAATGTGGGCTTTTAAATTTGCATTATTTTTGTCAAACTTAAACTTAGGGTATTTAGTTTTAAATTGTGTTTGTCAAACTTGTCCTTAGAGTCTTTAAATTTAAATTGTGTTTGTCAAATTTCACTTTAGGGTATTTAATTCTGAATTGTGATTGTCAAAGTTAAACTTAAGGCTTTCAAATTTGAATTGGATTCAGGGCCTTAAATTTCCAATTGTGGTTTTTAAACTGGAACTTAACGCCTTAACATTTCAATTGAATTTAGGGCTTTGAATTTTTAATTTTGATTCTCTAACTTAGACTTAGAGCCTTTAGCTTTAAATTGTGATTCTCAAACTTAAACTTAGATCCTTTAATTTTTAATTGTGGTTGTTTAACTTGAGTATAGAGCAATCATTTTGAATTCTCGTTGTCAAATTTGAACTTAAGGCTTTTAAATTTTAGTAATGGTAGACAAATTTAAACATAGAGCCTTTAATTTTGAATTATTGTTACCAAACATTAAGTGAATTGAAGTTATTCAAGTTTGATTTGAAGTTGAATCTGCCATTTTGAATTGAATTCATCACACTTGAACTTAGGACCTTTAAATTTGAATTGTGTTTGTCAAATTTGAACTTAGGGCCTTTAAGTTTGAATTGTGGTTATTAAACTTGAGTATAGGGCCTTTAAATTTGAATTGGGGTGGTCGAACTTCAATATAAAGTTTTTAATTTTATATTGCGGTTGGCAAATTTGAACTAAGGGCATTTAAATTTAAAGTATTATTGTCAAACTTAAATTTAGGCCCTAAGTTTAAATTTGTAATATTATCATCAAACTTACACTTTATCCTTTAAACTTATACTATTCAAGTCGTCAGACTTGAATTTAGTGTCGCCTTTTTTTTCAAACATGCTGGTGTGGTCTCAGTTAGAGTATTAAAACTTCACGTAAACTTGAAGGAATTCAAGGAAAAATACAAACGCAAACTGGACTCACATTTGAACCCATCAATAGTTGACATTACTCAACCTTTTGGTATAAGGAGATTGAAACGACAATGACCTTTAGACTTAGTCTTCGATTAGGTATAATATAATATTATTATAGTAATTGTTAAACTGAGAAGATCTCATTGGAGTTCTTCTTAGGCATCGCTCTTAAATATTGTCATTTTAGTTCATAGGAATCTTTATGTATTTCTGATTGCTAAATAAAACAGAGTTAAAAAAAATCGAAGGATAAAGCAGAGAAAAAAAAATCATCAAATATGAACAAGGTCCATCCAGTCATTAGTAGACATACTAAAAATTTTCAGAAAAATTTAACCATCCTAAGTTTTGCTAAGACTGTCTACAGTTTCGTTTACCCATTCGATGATCAACAATATCCATTTTCCCCACAATGCCATTTTTCAAGTGGCATCCCATTACCCGCATCTTTTATCCCACAGCCCATTGGCCTATTGGCACAACACCCATCGCCTACTTCATCTATCGTATCAGTTCTTCGTATAAAAATCACGCCACGTTAAATTTTATACATACGGAGGAGGCACATTCCGTTGCCGCAGCGTCATTTTGTCATTTTATTGGCATTTTCGTTGCCGTAACAACAAATAAATTACAAAATTTGATGCGTATTTTTATGGCTGAACGCGTCCGAGTTTAATAACCGGTTTATTAAATGCTGCAGAAATAAATATATATGCTTTTATTGCCAACGTTCGAGAAAGGAAAAAATAGGTTGTATGCAGATAGGGAAATAAATCAGTACAGGAGATTTTGTGTGTTGAAATAAGAGTAGTGGTGAATGTCGGTACATTTGCTGAAGAACAGATTGATTAGCTTTTTTTTCTTCTTATAATTGTAAATGTTCTTGGACACATTTTTACACTCATTCTTAAATTTCACGAACTTTGTTCATAATTCACGATTCTTGTCCGAAAATTTTTACGATTCTTGATAAATTTTACAAATTTTGACTGAAATTCAAGGCTCTTGTCTTAACTATGACTCTTGACTAAATCTTATAAATCTTGACTCAAATTTTACAAATCTTGACTCAAATTCACGGCTTTTGTGTGAATTTTCACGACTCTTGTACGAATTTTTTTACTATTGACAAATCTTGACTAAATTTTACAAATCTTGAGTAAATTTTACAAATCTTGACTCAAATTTACGGCTCTTGTCTGAATTTTTAACACTCATGACTGAATTTTACAAATCTTGACTAAATTTTACAAATTTTGACTCAAATGCACGGCTCTTGTCTTAACTATGACTCTTGTCTAAATTTCACAAATCTTGACTAAATTTTCACGACTCTTGACTAAATTTTACAAATCTTGACTGCATTTTACAAATCTTGACTAACTTTTACAAATCTTGACTAACTTTTACAAATCTTGACTAACTTTTGCAAATCTTGACTAAACTTTTGCAAATCTTGACTAAACTTTTGCAAATCTTGACTAAACTTTTGCAAATCTTGACTAAACTTTTGCAAATCTTGACTAAACTTTTGCAATCTTGACTAAACTTTTGCAAATCTTGACTAAACTTTTGCAAATCTTGACTAAACTTTTGCAAATCTTGACTAAACTTTTGCAAATCTTGACTAAACTTTTGCAAATCTTGACTAAACTTTTGCAAATCTTGACTAAACTTTTGCAAATCTTGACTAAACTTTTGCAAATCTTGACTAAACTTTTGCAAATCTTGACTAAA